CGTTTGAAATTGTTTAAAAAATCATTTGAGGCGTTTGAAAAAAATAGTATGTTCTATTCGGAATAAAAATGACCCTTTGTGCCTCGGCTGTGTGTCAAGCAAAGAGAAAGCCTATTTACCAGGAAGTTACGTTTTACGTCAAAACAAACGTAGAGCCTCGCCACAAAAAGTGTCATTTTTACTCCTGATAAAACAATATACCATTTATATAATGTCAAATTGTGAGAAATCAATGAAAAATTGACAAAACATATCTCTTGACTCGTATAACAGTGGAAAAATATATAGGGTTGCTATTTATTCGCTAGGAGTCGGAAGTTAGTTTTAGTTTAATGGCAAATACCTACAAAACCATAGAAAAAATCCTGCTAGAGTTGGCTAGGAAAAGAAAAACGTTAATATTTTATATATAAAACCATATGGAAAATGCCACCGGTCATTACTTTCCACTTGAAGGCGTTCTCTTTTCAATCATATGTATAATTTACTATTATGGCACCATTCTTTGTAGTACCCGGGCCCTTATTGTGGGAGCCCGACTTGCCCTTAACCAATTTTTTCATTATCACTCTGCGGGCAACACGATCGCCGAATCTCTTTCTGGATCTCTGTCAGGATCGATTTGTAATTCAGAAGTACGAATTTAAAGTGGAAAAATCGGTCGAAAGGGTTGAAATTTATAGGCGAGTTTGCCGCGCCTCTCGCACAATTTCGAATATCGCGCCAAATCTAATAATTAAATTGGCCGGAATTTGATTCAGATTTGAATTTTTGCCATCATTGAAATTGGATTTTATTATAATTTTAAGCTGGTGCTCATAGTGATAGTATTTTTGATGAGATATTCGAAATTGATTTAATATTGAAATGGAATATTTAATATTACGATTTAGTTTGAATCTTAACAGGAAGGAGATGAGGTCTACAACCGTACATTATACATTGGATGTACACTGCTATAGTTAGACCAATCATCACTTATGTAGCTCTAGTATGGTGGGAACCGGTACTTAAAGAGACTAATAGAAAAAGCCTCACAAAAGTACAGCGATTAGCAGCTCTAGGTACAACTGGAGCAAGGAACAACACAGCACAAGCTGCGCTAGAAGCAATTCTGGACATGCAATCAATCGACTGGCTCGTGAAGGATCTGGCCGCTAAGGGTGCCCTAAGATTAAGGGAATCCAATCTGTAGAACCAGACTAACTACGGTCACTCGAGGATATTTCGAGTGATAGGGAAAATCATGGTGAACACATCTGCTAGACCAGAAAACGGACTATATGCTCACCAAACATGATTTTGGAGAAAAGATTAGGATTTGCATCCCGACAAGAGAAGAATGGGAAAGCAACCGAGTAATGAACACTCAAGAGATAGCAGTCTACACAGATGCTTCGGCAACTTCAGGAGGCACAGGTATAGGCATCTTCTCAGAGGAACTAGATAGCCGACGATCTTTAAGGGTATCGGATGGCTGTAATGTTCTACAGGCAGAGGTTTATGCCATAAAGGAAGCGACTAGTTGTATGCGAGAGAAAATTGCTGATAGACAAATAGAGGTCTATCAGCAATTAATCGTGATATACTCTGAATATCGTGATATACTCTGAAAGTTTTGGTGCTTTAATAAGCATCACCATGCAATCAGTGAGATCGAAAACTGTGATGGAATGCCGAGAAGCACCGTCCTGGCTGCGTCAAGGCGGGGCTACTCAGTGCTGGGTGCCAGGCCACAAGATTAAAATTTTACATGTAATATCCAAATTATTGTTCACCAGGTTGGGTTTTGGAACTTTATAGGCTTGGTGCATTCTCTGGCGGTGCTGCCACCATCGGAGAATATCAAAACAACCAGCATATACAAATACACGGATTTAAATAGCGAGTATACGAAAAATGTATTATACAGGGCGAGTCTTAAGTAAGTTCAAATATTTTCAGGGCTGGTAGATCTCAATAAAAGAAACATATTTTCTCTTTACTGTTTTTCAAATAAATCCAAAACAACAGAGTTATTTTACTTTGAAAATTTCCAAAAAAATTGAAAATCACTGAATCTTTACTGGATTTTCTTTTTTGTAAAATGAATCTACCACTTATGTTGCCATATTATCAACAAATTATGTTTTTTAACTAAAAACTAATTTAAATTTTTTTTGGCGAAATAATTTTGTTTCTGGGGTCGAAATATACTACCCTTAAAATATTTGCACTTATGACCCATCCTGTATAATTATTCTAAAAGTGTTATGAAGTATGATTTGTGAAAATTCTAAAAATAAAAATAAGAAAGTAAATATTTTGATATCATCATAAATTATAATTTCTGTTATAATTTATTATTCAAGCTAATAACACTTTTTAGATGCGTTCAACTACGGTAGCTAGCATAGTTTTACGCACCGATTTTGCTAGCGCAGACAAAACTGGGTTTATTTCGGTTATAACAATTTTTTTAAAGCTATAGAATTATAATTTTAAAAGATGTTCATAAAAAATTGATAAGTTGATTGCACTAAAGTGATAATTGATTGATTAAAACAAGTACCTATACCATTAATTATGAAAATTATAATTTATCCTTTGATATGTAATGGGTACTTTGTTTAGTCACTTGTTTCGTCGAGCTGCTTGAATCCATTTTTGCTTTTGATCAAATCGGTGTGAGAAGTTGCGAAGCTATAAAATGTTGTTTCAGGAGAGTTGAATATCCGGGAAACTTGAATTATTGAATGTTATTGCACACAACAACCACGTAATTACGGCCTCCATTACGCGTAACATTTCACAGTCAGAACACAAAACGACACCTAGGTTTTCACTTAATTTTTACTATTCGAAGTTTCAATAACTGCATTACAAACTGAAATATTATAACAAAGCCACGATTTTAATATTTTTTTTTTTTTTATTTCAATGCCATCAACATCGCAACTGCGCGTGAAATACAGTGAGAAACTTCTAATTTCTGCCGTATCGAGCGTTGGTGTCTGAATTTTTAAAATAAACTGAAATGCACCAAGTCTATAGGTTTATAAATCATTTAGTCGGGACATTTTTTTAGGCATACATATATCATACACAATTTTTCTAGAATTTCATACGAATTAATCGGCTTAAATCCGCTGGGAATTCTTATACGTTGCTTATGTATATTAATATTGCTACAACCTATTCATTAGACAGCTAGTCGACTTACGATCATTTACATGGAATTCGGCCTACCTACCTAGAGATTACATAACATATGCAAATAAATCAGATTCTGAGCTCCATTTATTTCTGATTCTGATATTCCGTTTATGAAAAACTATCGAGGCTGCTGCTGTAGCTGCCTGGATGCATGGGTACAAGAACAGGCATGGCAGGTGAAGTGCGGGTACTCAAAAATTAGCGACTGGCTGTGTAATTGATAGGCTGTGCTTATACATGATATTGCATGCACAAGGTGAATAAAGATCACACTACAATCTCAATTTGGATAAAGATGTTCATCAGATAGAGAGTATAATACAGGGTGGTCCGAACTGTATTCCGGAAACTTCAGCAGCATATTCTGCAGATAAAAATAAGTAAAAAAGTTCGTATCAATATATGTCCTAAAATGATTAGTTTACGAGATACAGGGTGTAGAAGTTTCATTTTTATTTTGATCTTTTCCAAATGATTTACGAAGTAAGGTCAATATTTGGATGAAAATTGGTGTCTGGGCGTTTTTTGACATGAGAAATTTGATTTTGATGTCAAAATGATTCCTAGTTGTAAAGGGCGCCACCTACATATTTTTTAACTAGTTTGAAGAGCAATAACTTTTCGTCCGTACCTGTATAAAATTATTGAGTAAAAAATATACATTTACGACTCTTTTTACGTAAATAAGGTCTCTTGGTTTGGTTTGGTTGTGAAAAATAGCTACGAGTAATGATTGAGATATTTTGAATCGAAATTATCAATACCCGTCTTTATTAACATAAATTAAACATGTTGACTAAATAGTTATTAGACTGAAATCATAAATTTGAAATGTTTTTGTGCCAAAAGTTCAACAGAAACTGTTTTATCATCATTTTATCGCAGAAGAATTTATATTTTTAAAAAATAAAAATTTCAGTCAAATAACTAGCTACTCAACGTGTTTATTTTTTGTCAATAATGACATGTATGGACTATTTCCATTCTAAATATCTTGAGAACGGTTGCTGTAGCGATTTTTACCAAGAGATATTTTTTACGTAAAATGTCACGGAAATGTATATTTTGTCACTAGGTAGTTTTATACAGGTAGGGGCAAAAAGTTATTACTCTTCAAAACAGTTAAAACGCATGTAGGCGGCGCCCCCTATAAATAGGAGTCATATTGACGCCAAAATCAAATTTCTCGTGTCAAAAATCTCCCAGACACCATTTTCATCCAAATATTGACGTTACTTTAGAAATTATTTGGAAAAAATTGAAATAAAAATGAAACTTCTACATCCTATATCTCCGACACAAAGCATTTTAGGACATACATTTATTCGAACTTTTTTACTTATTTTTATCTGCAGAATATGCTGCCGAAGTTTTCGGAATATAGTTCGGACCATCCTGTATATCATACTACACACAGTCAATTATTGTGTCTGAAAAGGTTGACAAGCACCTACACTGTTTTATATGATATAATTTTATTATGTAGTGTATTATGAAATTACAAATAATATAACTTTGTTTGAATGATAAATTTTACTTTCATAATGATGAAGTATATGTATATATTCGAAAATAGATAAAAAGAAAGCTAAAACAAAATAAAAATAGCAATCTTATAATTAATCCATTCTTTTAGGTACTTCTACTCTATCTGTAGTTATGCATTTAGTTGAACTCGCGTTCATAGTTTAGTTATTTAGTTGGTTTCAATGACTAGGATTATTGCTAGGAATCTAAAGAGTTCACAGGAAAAGTGTAAGAAGGGCACTAAATATATCTAAAAAATATAAATTAACAGCACAACAAATGTCTTAAATTTTTATTCTGAGAGAAAATTAGTAAAAAAAATATGTCGTAATCATATTTTGGGTACTTTCCATAATGACAGTGAGATGCACCACAGTAAACTCGGCGCTCACGCAAGCTTCTGTTATCTGAAAGCTTCTATTTTTGTCTTGAAATAAGCTCTATATCGACTTTTGATGATGTTCTCAGAGATATGAAAAAGTACAATCCGAGATCTTCTATACTTTGGTATTTGGTAACAATCCGGTAGTTCTTTATTATATTGGACACAATTATTTTCATCATCGTCATGGCATAATATCTTCCTGAAAATGTCCATTAATAGAAATACACTTCCAGACAATAAATATCTAACAATAATAATTTTAGCGAGATTAACAATCTTACAATTTTTTTTGTAATTTTGATACAATATTTTGCTGAGTGTAGCCACGTGTCTCGAAATATTATTCTGCTATTTTCTTCTTAAAAAATACTGTTTGCCTGATCGTATAAGGACACTTCTATACGTTGTAAAATTTTTGACAGTAACCGAAAAACAATTTAAAAAGTAAGATACGTCAATTATTTCGTCTACTACAGCATAAGAACTTTTTCTGTTGCAGTTGCGACACTGTGGAGACTGTTAGATCACTCTAAAAGACCTTCGCTCTACGTAAAATTGTCGACACTTAGTATGGAAGGCGACGAGTTCTGTTTCAATGATTATTATTTAATAACGACCCATTTTGTCTGGTAAAGATGATCCGAGTACATCTATACTAATACCGTGCTGGCAACTGTTATTTTTGGGTCGGCATTTACATGTGTGGAAGTAAATTGCATAGGGATCTTATTAAGTCGGAGTGAGAGAAATGCGACCGACAGGCGCGACGCGCGACGGTGTGCTGTTGCGGCGTTGCCGATACGCCTTTCTCTATCAAGTAAAGTAAAATCACGATCGCAAACCGCTTATTTTTAAAAGACTTTTTTTTCAAGAGATAACTAGATAAAATCTTTAGACATGTTCCTGAGCATCTGAAATGGAATTATAAGGATATCGTTAGGGTGTCATTTTTTTATAACGAGAAAACGTCAGTAATCGCGATAATTTAAAAACTCAGCTTTTTAACACATAACAGGCCATAACTCAAGAACCACTTTAGATATTGAAACTTTTTTTTATTTTCAAGATCGGATATTTTACAATATGTTTACATAAGAAAAATTCGATAAGGTTGTTATTTCCATTCAAAAATTGTAAACAATCCATTCATTTACTTTTAGAGCATAGCAATTTTCAGCAATCGTAAAATTTTTTATTGATAAACATTTTCACATACTGTCTACAAAGAAAATACAGCAGAAATATTAACAAAGTTCTTGAAAAAACTACCAATCTATTATTTCTAATAGGTTTCGAGATATCGATTTTTGAATTCAGAGTTCTAATAGCGCGACTACTATCGAACACCCACTCAATTCCACTTATTTTTACCAAAAATGCAAGTGTTTCTAGCTTGCACTTAAAAAAAATCAAGCTATAGGAAAAATTACAACGACTCGTTAATAAATAAACAAATTAAGTATCACGAGAAGTAATTAAATCGTGAAGCTGAACGCATGATGTGCACCTCTCCCTAGAACTTTAAGTACTGACAGGGGTATTGATTGGGTCGACCGGTCAACTGCGACAAATCTGCTATATCCCCTTCCACGTCTCTTGGCGATGTACACAGTTTCTCGGTTTATTTCATACGTTTGGCAACGTGTTTACTGTTCTCTCTTTGTTCAGTACATTATAAACGCATTGTACTCTTCTTACATAAGGAAATCTCGACCCAAGACTAACCTTTGCCAGTCCTTAGTATATAAAATCCTTAAGTGACTGACATACTGATTAATCACGATCCTGCTCAAACTACTCAACGTAAGAAGCTCAATTTTGGCATACAGGTTGATTCTAGGGTGTAGAGGTTCGATAAGAAGGGATTTTTCGAAATTCCAGTTCCAAGAGGGTGAAACCACCCCTCAAATATTACAATATTTTTTATTTAAAAAACGGTCAAGTTTCCGAAAAAACGCTTAAACACGTATATTTTATTTTGTTTTTTAAATATTTTAAGATTTTTTAAAAATGTATACAGGGTGTTTCAAAAAATCTGGTCATTGATTAATCACGATCCGGCTTAAAGCGCTTGACGTAAAAGCTGATTTTTGGAAAACAGATTGACTTTAGGGTGTAGAGGTTTGATAAGAAGGGATTTTTCGAAACTCAAATTCTAAGGGGGTGAAACTATGCCTCAAATATTTAAATATTTTTTATTTAAAAACCGGTGAGTTTTTCGGAAAAAACTCTTAAACACGTATATTTTATTTTGTTGTTTTACATATTTTAAGATTTTTTATAAATTTTTAGAGGGTGTTTCATAAAATATGACCATTAAGTAGTCAAGATTCTGCTTAAACTGCTTGACGTTTAAAGCTGATTTTTGGCAAACGGATTGACTGTGGGGTGTAGAGGTTCGATAAGGAGGGGTTTCTCGAATCTCAAATTCCAAGAGGGGGAAAACGCCCCTCAAATATTACAATATTTGTTATTTAAAAAACGGTTTGTCCTTCGGGAAAACGCTTGGATAAGCATAATTTATTTGTTTTTTTTTACATATATTGAATTTTTTTAAAAAATCATATAGGGTGTTCCAAAAAATTTCTTAACCACGATTCTGCTTAAACTGCTTGACGTAATAGAGCTTATTTTTGGCAAACTGATTTTTCGAAAGTCAAATTCCAACGAGATGAAACTACCCCTCAAATATTACCAAGTTATATAATAATATCGCCATATTGTTTTTTCTCATGCTGACATAAATGTGAGAAAATTTTATCCAGTTTGTATGTTAATGGAAATTCTTGCTTTGCTTTATCATCACCACTACAAATGATTAATTCGACGCGAACGAAGTCGCTGGTACACGCTAGTACTGTATATTTCTATACAATTATTTACCATTTTTCGATTAAAATCAGTAAAATCTATATCAATAAATTCAGGAGACTATCCTTACTCTTTGGGATTAAAGAAAATTAAATTTGTATTTAAATAGAAGAAAATTTTTGATTAGGAATACCCAATCTGGTTTGGACATAATAGCATAGTATATGATACACACTGATTCTCATGAATAAAATTAAAAGTTTATTTAAACTTCTGTCATAGAGCAGAACCAATGAATTTCAGGAAACCAATATTAATATTTATGGTTATATTATAACACATCTCCGACTTATATAGAAATATCCCAAGCAATGTTTTTAATTAATATTAAGAAATATAAGTTTTACGAAATTATATTATGCATTATATTATTATTGTTGTTTTTGATTAATACATACCTGTGCAGTCTCTAGGACCCAATAAAAACGGGATATACGAACCAGGTTCAATGTTCTTAGAACGTTCGGGAGAAAATCTATCCGGATCAAATTTCTCGGGATCCGGCCAATATTTCTCATTTCTATGGACGAGGTATGGTGTTATAACAACGTTACAATCCTTTGGAAGAGTTTTCTCATCTGAAAACTGTTTTTATGACTACCTCTAAATTATGATATGAATAATACAGGGTGACTCTTAAATAAGTGAAAATATTAAAGAAACATATTTTCTTTTTATCGTTTTTCAGATAAGTCCAAAACACCCCAGTTATTTTATTGAGAAAATTTCTAAAAAATTTTTTTTTGCTAAAATTTCGAGAACCACTGGATCTTTTCTGGGCTTTCTTTCTTGTAAATTTAATATACTATCTATAATATATTGCCATATTATCAAGAAATTATGGTTTTTAACTAAAAAAATCCAAAACATTTTTCAAAAAATTCCGAATTTTCAAAAAAAAAACTGCGAAAAAACACATAATCGTGTTTCTGAGATCGAAACATACTATCCCTAAAATATTTGCACTCATTTAAAACTCACCCTGTATATAATTGATGAATAGAGAAAAAAAGCAGAACAAGAACTATAAGGTACAAAGTCAAACAAAAGCCGAAATAAAATTGTGTGTTGGAAGTATTTAGTCCAATACAATATTCAGGGTGCATCAACGTTGTTCTCGAAAATATTAAAAAAAGATTTATATAAACGTTGCATGGTTTATAAAGGTAGATATCCTACATACAGGGTGTCTCACAAAAGTAATGATAAAGTTTCATTTTTTTTTATTTCATTCGGCATAAAGTTGTGCATATAAAGGAGGGTCCACATTTAGTAACATGTTATATAACATTGCTAATGCTAAAAAACCGGGAGCCGTCCACATTATAGTTTTCGTAATCATGAATCGTTTTGGCGAGAAAGAGGTTCTGCTAGCAGCATCGGCGTGCGTAATCATTTTTGAAGAAAGAGAAAGAAAGTCGAGAAAAAAGCGGTTTTGAGTCCGCCATAGCCTACAAGATCGATCTATATATAGTTGAACTCAATTAGCTTACCTTTTCAATACCTGCCTCGGCTGTTTCTCGTGGTGTGTTCCTGTCTTTTAAAAACGTTACTAACTTAAAAGCAAACCATTTTGAATTATCCACTTCGCCTAAATTAGTACCTGATTTGCATTTCTTTTGTTCCCTCTGAAACTGCCCTATTAGATAACGCATTTTTTCTCAACTTTTTCTCTTTCCAAATACATACAACTTTTTGGAATTTTTAACCATGCATCATGCTTTTTTTTTATTTCACTTTGAGGGACTACGGATATCCCAAAACACTGTATGATCTCTATACAATTTAATTAGTTGACAAGTCTGCTATTGGCTCTACACCATTAACAATATAAGAACATAGAGAAAGTACCTAATAAAAAGTTTTACTTTTCTATAATTTCAAGCTTTTTACTATCTTTTTCTATGTATAAGAACCATACGATCGAAAAAAAAAAATGGCGCCAGCGATGGCTATGAAATGAAGATCGCTGTCATTTTATATGAAAAATTATATTGGGAATGTCATCGATAGTCATGTCCAAGCCAACTGGACGGGAGGCCGACTTTACGCAGTTTTTTTTCGATCATACGGTATTATTGACCAGTAAATAGACAAACCCAATACCAGCTCACCATACTAAGATTCTGTCGCGCACGTCCATGAAAATATGCGCGGCTAAACTAGAAATTTAGCAAGTCTGGACGCGTTGTTTCGTGTTACAATAACAATGTTGAGCAACATCTTCTGATCTTTACCGACTACAAATGGATAACATCTAGCAAGTTATATAGCAGCGAAATTTGCTAAATATGACTAAAAAATATGTAACATGTTATATAACTTTGCTATACAGGGTGTCCCAGAAATGAGTGCAGATATTTTAAGGGGTGGTAGATCTGGTCAAAATAAACATATTTTCTCTTTACCATTTTTAAAATAAATTGAAAATAACCGAGTTATTTAACTTTGAAAATTAAAAAAAATAATCGCAACATTTTGAGAACCACCGGTAGATATCGCCAGCTACATCCAATTACCCGGATCAAGCCCGGATTTCAGTTAATTCGACGCACTGTGTTGCCATAGGGACAAGAAAGTATATGTTAAAAGTAAGTCATAAAATCACAACACCTGAGGAGTTTGCAGAAATGCATTACATTTTTAAGATTGTGATATTATTACATAAAATAAATTAAAAGTTAAATGTTTAATAATGTGTTAGAAAATGTGTTAAAAAAGTTAAATTAAAAAACTTACCCTACATAAAAAAAATACTTATAACAGATCGATGTAACTGTGACAGTTCTCTTTTTCGATATACACTTAACTAAAATACAATTCACAGTTCACTGTGTGCTGCTTTACTTGTACATGCTATTATAATAACTACTAAAATAACAGTCCCCATTTTTAACACATTTTCATATAGGCCTCATCACAATTTGAACCACTGATTTACAAAACACCTTGAAAAGCACACATTATTTGAATACCTATCTGAATGAATAAATGTTGAGAATTATTGTCTCTTACCGCCACTTTCCGAACTACTTTCAATCTAAGAAAATACATGTTTTGCTCAACAATTTTAAATACGTATTTTGTTTTTTCGCTATTTTTTCTATGTATTTTGACAATTCCATCGACAGCCCAACCGTCGCGTCGGCCAAGAGAGCCGCGCATCACTGGTAACTGCTAAACTGCTCCTTTGTCGCGCCGCCGTGTCGAGCTTGCGCCATGCGAGGTTGCCGTAGTTTCAACAATTTCAAATTCAAACAGAAAAACATGAAAGGAAACAAACAAAACACAAATGAATTGGTTATTGATAAGGTCAGAAAAAAGAAATTTCTAAAATGTTTATTGTAATTCAGAATTCAATACATCGAAACATCCCGACGAATAATCAACTCATTTTTGTTTTGTTTATGTAGAGAAACATGAAAGGATGTTTCTCTGTTTTATTTTTAAAATTTAATACGAATTTGATTGCTTCGAATGTCTTGCATTTAAATTGTTGTAACTACGGCAACGTTGCTTAACATTGTCGTCTGACGCAAGCCCGCCACGACGGCGCGGCGACCGGCGACTTAAAGAACCAGTTACCAGTTCACACGCGGCACTCTTGGCTGACGGTTAGGCTGTCGATTGAATTGTCGAAATACATCGAAGAAATAGCGAAAAAACAAAATACGTATTTAAAATTGTTGAGTGAAACATGTATTTTCTTAGATTGAAAGTAGTTCGTAAAGTGGCGATAAGAGACAATAATTCTCAATATTTATTCATTCAGAAAGGTATTCAAAGTAATGTGCGCTTTTCAAGGTGTTTTGTAAAACAATGGCTCAAAAAAAAAACAGAGAAACATGAAAGAAAACAAACAAAACAAAAATTAATCGATTATTCGTTGGGCTAATTTCTAAATTGAATTGAATTCTAAATTACGATAAACAGTTTAGGAATTTCTTTCTGTGACCTGATTGTGAATAATATGAATCATTTTATTAAATTTATTCCGAAATAAAGTTATTTTGCAGCATAACAAAGATTTTCGTAAACGTCATAAACGTAATGTTTTAGTTAATTTTCGGTGGTTTTTGTTAAGTTTTTATTGAAAGGGTATGTACTAAAAATAATTAATGTGTTTTTTTTTCTATAATTATTAATAATGAGCACTGATAAAAGATTAAATTTAACATTCCTAATTTTTTGAGTAGAAATTTGTCTATGAATTTATAAATGTAGATGTTCCGCCGAACTATGTAGAATGTGGATAACATAGGAGGTTTAGATACACCGTAGGGAAATCTCAGGTGAATAAACGAGTGGCACTAAAAAGTTTTTTCAAATTTCCCGGAAAATGTCAAGAAAATTTTTAAATTTTCAAAATTTTTTTTTCGCAAAAAAAACCTCATAGGCGTGTTTCTGGGGTTGAACTATACTACCAGTTAAAATATTTGCACTTATTTCTGGGACACCCTGTATAACAGTGTTATATAGCGAGTGTGGACCGTCCTTAATACACTATTTTTTTAAAGCACTTTGCGGTATATATTGCCATTCTATTTCTTATTTACTGAAACATTGCTTAAAGGTATTATATCAAAAAAGTAGTTATACACTTCAGCGAGTTTATTAATTTTATTGTTTAGCTATATTTTCCTTAACACGAAAAATAATTTTCGTTTTTTTTTTGTTGAGGCACAATATACACAAGAACGTATTTTTAATATATGCACCTTTATAAACCACGTAACATTAATATTACACCATGTATAGTGAGGAATATCAATAATCGCGTCATTTCCAAGCCAACTGAACGCCGTTTTTTCGATCAATATATTTGATAAACACGAGGGCTGTTCACAAATACACGTCGTGTCACTACGTATTTCTAAGTCGTAGGCTGTGTCTCGCTACAGTGTCTCGCTAGCTCGTGTGACGCGTCTTTCAATTTTTACTCCCAGCGCGCGTCCTTACAACCTTTAGTTTCGCGTGTCGTCTCGCCAGCTAGTGTGTCACGGCCTTGAATTTTTTACTCAGAGCGCTCGTAAAGAAGTTTCACTTTAATAATTCAGAAAGAACTAGAAAGCAAGTGAGATGAACTAAAGAGAGAACAAAGAGGCTTGATTTCACTAGTATTTGTATAATGTTTTGTATTATCTTTTGTTTGTTTGTTTGTGTACCTTGTTTATTTACTTCGTTTGTTTATTTTACCTTTGTCTACAAATTTTAAAATTTTTTGACAATAAAGGCATTTATTTGTTTATTTATTTATTTATTATTTATTTATTTATTTATTCATTATTTGAAATATTGTGAAATTTATAACTTGCAAATATATTTTAATCTGCCAACTTCTATAATTTTATTATGTCAGATATGTATAAAATAGTTCTGCCTTTTTCTTATTCATCACTTTATTAATAATGGATACCCAATTCAATGTTATCCGTGGCTTGTCGGCCCAGAACTGGCAAAATGGGATACAGTCTTAATATTTCTAACAATACTTGTTCTGTGTATTTTAACTTTGGCAAATCGTCTATCGAAATTGTTTCAGTGTCTCCGATAGTGTCAATAATTTCTTTATACATTTTCTCCTAAAAAAACATTTTGAATAAATATCATATTCTGGATTCTATTATACTGACCTGTATATCTGGATGCATTCCAACCTTTAAGATGAAGAAACTTATACTAGTTGCTGAAGTTTCTGTACCCTAAAAGAATATTTAACAAATATTATGTTAATTCACTCTAGTTATAGATATCCAATAAAAAAACAGCTGATCGTTTGACACAAAACTCCAAAGAACATGTTCTAAAGATATTGTTTTAATAATAATTAATAGTGGTCTTAGAGAAATAAATGCAAACGGTATAATGAGTATTTGTTAAGTTTTAGAAGTATTTTTCTAAAAACAAGTTTTGTAGAACTATCTATTTTTAATTATAAATTAAATAGCGATGTCATTAACTACAAATCAACAGGGCTGCTATATGTTTGTCGTGCCTCTGTGTTGACTTTCTCTGAGAAACTAAAAGAACATGTTTAAACTTACCGCTGCAGCTAAGAAATATACTTGCTGGAATATCTCTTCGTCTGTGAATTTATTTCCCTCCTCTTGAAGATAGCTATCCAAAAAGTTTAAATTATTTGACGAATCTCCTACACCTGGAATAAATTAATTACTATAACCTGCTATAATTAAAAAAAGAGACATTGCAATGTTTTATTCATCATAAAAGAGAATTATTTTAGGAACATTTACTCACGAAATTATTGTATAGGTTATTTTAAAGATAGGGTAAAATACCACTTTTTGATTAACCCTATATAATAAGTCAAATACTAAAGTTTATAATAAACTGAGTTTACAAATTAAATTGATATATTTATATACAGTTTGCTAAAAAATAAAAACAAAATAGGGCTAAAAATAAAGAAAATATAACTCTTTAAACTTGACGAAAAAATTTTCCGTTGCAGTTATTTTGCATCTGAGTGTAGAATTTGTACATGATTTTTTTTAATTCTTGTAAATTATTGTGGATACTATGGTGCGCACTGCATACCTAAAATATTATTTTACGTGCTAGTAATGTAAAAGCATTAAAAAAATAGATAATTACCAATATTTTCTTTTAGTAATTTTCGTTTTCCTTGAATTACCTGAAAATTAAAATAATTATTTGTTATCCTCTTTTATGCAATTTCCTTACTCTATAAATCTCCTTTCTCATTCTATCAATCATTTTATAAAATTCTCTCCCACGAGGCGTAAAATATTTAAAATAGCACTGCGGCATCAACATATCGACGATAGTTCTTTTTGACGACAAACTTAAACCTCTAAAAATTTATGTTTAATATATTTTAGCTTCATTTCGTAACTTGTATCTTACTCTTGCATACAAGTTGGGAAATCCTCATATTCCTTTAGTCTCGATTGTTCAATACCGAGGAAATTGACTGTAAGTTTAATGATATATTATTAGTGTTAAAAATAAAGAAAGGGGATTAAAATTACCCATAAAACTTCCAAATGAAATCTGGTTTACAGTACCAACCAGATCGTCAAAGTTGGTATAATGATTTTTTTCTTTAAAGTTGATGCTCAGATAGCAAGCAAATTCATTAAAGGTGGTAGTGAAGAGTTTTAGCATTACAGGTCTCATGCTCTTTGCAGCAAATCTTCTATATAATTTCCATTTGTCAACTGTAATAGCATAGCCACATTAAACTTTAATGTATTATAGAGACAGAGATAAATATTTTTTTTTAATAATTACAAAGATTCTGTTTTTACATCACTATGCTACTTTTTTATGAAACTCAAGGTGCTACACATATTATTTTTTGTCCTAGTCTTAGTTTTTGAAATACAGGCTGAAATTTAACATTTTTCGACCACCTTTGTACTAAAGTTCATATCAAATATACTTTTAGTCACGGATTAAGCTTGACCGGCACAGCATTGTCCACTTTTACATATTTTCTTTTAATCAAAATATTTTAGAAAACCAAAATTAATTAATTATAAATATCTAAATAGTTATTATTTATATCAACTAAACTCACCTTCTTAACAGCACTTAACATAAAGGGCAATTACTACCGCTTTCCTGTTCAAAATATCCCAATAAAGTAGTGATGAGTTTTTACGGCTATTAAGCGGTTATCTTGTACACTTGGCACTAAAAAAGGTTCTAAAAAGAACAATTGACAGCAATATTTGCTACTAAAAAATTTTAAGCTTAAAATATCATCAGAACACAATTCATTTAAACTAAAATACTCGTAATACAAAACTAAAGTGTCAAAACGAATGACAATGCCAGGAAATAAATAAATAAATGTGGCAACTTGACATTTTTTTACACCAGAGCTACCACCTGAATTCCTAACGGGAAATTTAAATTCCAGTTAGTCAGCCCGGCGACGAAAATGTTGCCATGGTAATGATTGGCAACAATGAATATTAACAGTTTTTGCCTCTTCGATAAGTTATAGGATAACCGAGATAAGAGGGGAGTCAAAAAATTCAACAATTTCAAATTTGCCCTGTATTTCAGAAACTAAGAGGGCTAGGATAAATCTGTGTGTAGCATCTTTAGTTTCATAGAAAAGTATCATAGTAATGTAAAAACGCATCTTTTCACCTCCATTCATAAACGAGAAACCCTGCAAAACACACGAAAATGGGACAATCTGTACAATCCTAACAACATAAAAAGAAATGTATATATTCGTCTACTAAGAAATAATAATTCTCCCCTCTTAGGTAAATAATAATAATAATAAAAGCACCTAGATTAATAAAAAATAATATAAATCGATATTTATATGCTGTTCCTAAAAGAGTGGTCAACCACTACAAATCATTTACTGTAGAACTTCAATCAATACCATTAAAAAAACTAAATTCAATTTTCTTACTATTAACAAGTCGACCCTAACCGTTTTTCAGTTTTAGTTTGTAAATTGCAATTTTCAAAAAATCAAATTATCTTACCAGCCACTGTAAACCTAATTACCTAGCCGTTACTTAATTTTTTCGTCTGAAACTATTAAAAGAAAATTTGTAAAATGTAATTGAAATCGTGCTTAATAAAGTTCTGTAACAGTAAAAGCTTTTTCTCTGCAGCCTTAATAATTTTAATGGATTTTCTAATCAGGCGAATGGAAAACCATTAGATTTAATTTTAAGCTCACACGACTATAATAAATAGCTACGACTTTGTTAAATTCTTTTGATAACCATTAATGATGATTAAAAAGTGTTAAAATAATTATCAAAGTTTTTTTTAGTATATATTAGTATTAGATTAGTTATAATGATTTTAACTATTTAATAAAATCAAAATAATTATATTTTATATCGTTTATTTTATACGTAACATTTACAAATGTCAATTTCCAGTTGGAGTACGTGTTTTATTTTTTTTTAAATTGGTTTAATTTTCAAATAGGTTAATAATGGTGTCAGCTTTTTAATATTTGATTTTTATTGACATAAATACACAGAAAAAAATAACTTCGCGTAATTAGATAAGATTTATTCTCTGATGAGTATATTTTATGCTAAAATATTTCACATCTGGCAACCTTTTTGTATTTTTTTGGATTCAGATAAAGCAGTATTCAAATTTACTAGATACATTATGCACAAGAATTATTTTTTTCTTCTAACACAATATTTTCTCACTCAAATTAACCTTTATTTGAATTAGATTATATTTCGTATACTCGTCCAAATAGATATTATACATGTAGTTACACTATTCTTACTTTATCGAGCACATTTTTACAAAGAGTGAATCATAATTTTTTTTCTCTTATCATCCTTGCCGCTGCACGCCCGACCTGGTTGAATCATTACATTATTGTGCTTTATCGAGTACGTACAGTTCGGCAGCTAAAATGCCAAAAAGACGTAGATTTACAAGTGAAAGTGATAGTGATGAGCTAACTGCAGAAAGGGCACGGTTAAGGCGAAAATTAGAACGCCTAGAAACGAAAAGAAAATCAAAGGAAAACAAATAAGGCGTCGAATTATCGAATCAGACAGTGATGATTCAAGTGGAAGTAAGTAAAACCATGGATGGGGTTACACATTGCTGTTAGTTAATAAGTAACCTATTGTCGAGTTATTTATTAAAAAGACTTAATTAAAACATGTGTCATATAAAAACTTATAATACAATAACGCATACCTACCTAAACATCCGACTGCCGAGATGTGGGGTAAAATCCTTTCCTTCTTGTCTTTTTATTTAAATTACGTTTAAGCAGCCGACTGCCGAGTTGCCTATACGTTATTTTTTAAATAAATAATATAAATCTCAAATACCAAAAAGAAACTGAACTAATCTATTTTACTTTTTCTTGACAATAATATAAATTGTAAATACGGAGATATGCTCAATGACAAAAACGTCGTAAAAACTGCCTAGAGAATCCGTTGTTGTTCTCTGATATGGGACGATTTCATAACAGTTGGGTCGCTTCAGATAATAAATAAATTGTTATAAAAAGTAAATAACAAGAAAAAATTGTTTAATGTTATTCTTTGGATCGAAGGCAAGAACTGCATGAAGTGCAGGTTCACAGGGAAAACGAAATCCCAGATAACCTATGTGAAGAAACCCTGTCAGTAGTGCCTGACGAAGTATTGAAACTTTTTGGTGAGGAGCCTTTAGGAGATGAACCAACATGGGGGGAGGAAGTAAAGTCCATTATAGCAGATCGTTGGAATAAATACTTGGTTCTTGGTATTACCAAGCAAGAAAAGGAGGACTTGAAAAAAAAGTATCCAGTGCCAAAAATATTAGATTTTTACAAGGTTCGGAGATAAATCCAGAGATATCAGAGTCCATAACTGATGCTCAGAAAAATCACGATAAATACATGTCTATTGTACAGAATCAACTGGGAAATGGCTTATCCGCCTTGGCCAAAGGCTTAAATGCACTATTAGTGGACAAAGCGAACGCGGACGTTGGCTCCAAAGTTATGCCCTGCCTTATCGATGCAGGCAAAGTGATTACTGATGCTTTTCATATGATAACGAAAAGCAGGAAATTTCATATTGAAGCTAATCTAAACCCCACGGTTAAAAAAATTGTTCGTGATAGCAAACCCGACAAATTTTTGTGTGGAGAAAATTTTTCGGAAAAATTTAAAGAAGCAAAGAACCACCAACGCACTGGAAAAGAGTTAAAGTTTGCTAAGGCAAATTTTGTAGTAAATAGGCAGTCGTCTTCCACCACCTACGCAAGAAGCTCAGGTCAAAGTGTAAGGAGGTCCTTTAGGAACCAGCCGACTTTAAACTACCGAGGAGCCTACCACAAGAACAAGGTGAAACGGACACCACCACCTCGGACCCAACGAAGGTACCCTGTGAAAGCACCTTATTACCAGAAGGGGGATATCAAAAATAATGGAGGTGAGTGCATATGGTGGACGGTTAAGATATTTTACCGAGGTATGGAAAAATATAACAAACAGTATAAGTAATTTGTCTTGGTTAGAGGGCTATAAAATACCGTTTAGGGAAAAACCGATTCAGGGTCATAGACCTATAGTAAGTTTACTTAGTGCATCAGAAGAGCGAAAGGTGGCCGTGATTATACTTAAGTTCGAAAAACAGGGCATAATAAGTCAATGTTGTCATAGCAAAAATGAATACATATCCTCCTTCTTTTTTAGTTCCAAAATCTGATGGATCCTCTCGATTTATTTTAAATTTAAAAAATTTAAATAAGTTTTTGGCTCCAGTGCCACATTTTAAGCTAGAAAACTATAAATCAGTAAGAGACCTAATTTATAAAAATTGTTTTATGTCAACCATAGACCTTAAAGATGCTTATTATATGATACCAATTAGTCCTAATTCTAAAAAGTTTTAAGATTTGAATTCAACGGTCTACTGTTTCAATACAATGTAATGCCCATGGGGTTATCCTCCGCACCATATGTATTTACAAAAATGTTAAAACCGGTACTAAATAAACTTAGATCGTTAGGGATTTTTTGTGTTATGTATTTAGATGATATTTTTGTTATTGGTAGGACCCAGCAAGAGACGCAAGACCATGTTAAAAAATTATTTATTTGTTAGAACATTTGGGCTTTATTATAAATTACAAAAATGTAAATTAATTCCAGCAAATACATGTAAATATTTAGGTTTTATTTATAACAGCGAAAAGCTTACTGTAGAGTTACCCATGGAAAAGAAAACTAAGATAATATCGTTAGTTACTAAATTACATAATAAAGAAAAAGTATCCATTAAAGAACTTTCAAAGGTATTTGGCACATTAATTGCTGCATGTCCGGCCGTTTCTTATGGGTGGCTCCATATTAAGAGTTTGGAACGATCAAAATACCTAGCCCTTAAGAAATTTAATACATATAAAGCCCAAATCTTAATAACAAATCAAATTAAAATCGAACTAAAATGGTGGGAAAATAGTATTTTAAATTCTGTTAAAAATATAAACATGGAAAATTTTGATTTAGAAATATTTACTGATGCCTCCAATACTGGCTGGGGGGCAGTATGTGGTAATAACAAAACTCATGGATTTTGGGGTGAGATTGAAGGAAGTCATCATATAAACTACTTAGAACTTTTGGCGATATTTTATGCGCTTAGGTGTTTTGCCTTAAATAAAAGTCACATAGATATAGTGTTTCGTGTCGATAATAAAACGCCATAGCATATATCAACAAAATGGGAGGCATTCGATTTCAAAAATTAAATAATCTAAGTAAAGAAATTTGGTCTTGGTGTGAAGAAAGAAATATATTTATTTACGCAACTTATATCGCTTCCAAGGATAACACAGTAGCAGATATGGAATCACGGTCAGTGGCAATCGACACTGAATATTGTTTAAATATGCAATATTTTCAAAAAATAGTTTTTGACTTTGGAAATCCAACAATAGATTTGTTTGCAAGTAATATAAACAGCAAATGTACAAAATTCATTTCATGGCGTAAAGATCCGGGAGCTATAGCATCTGATGCATTTAGCATAAACTGGGGAAATTATAATAATTTTTATGCCTTCCCTCCGTTTTCTCTTGTTGGTAGGGTACTCAATAAAATAATAAGAGATCAAGCAAAAGGTATCTTAATTGTGCCTTTTTGGCAGACTCAATACTGGTATCCATTATTTTTAAGACTTTGCGTCAAAAAACCATTAACTCTACCGCCGAATGAATTTTTATTATTATCTCCTTTCAGGACCCCCCATCCGCTTTGGAGACAATTATCCCTAGTAGTAGGGAAATTATCAGGGGATCATTTCTAAAACGAGGCATTCCTGACGCGGCGATACCAATATTGATTGATTCAATAAGTAAAGCGACTTTTAAACAATATGCAGGAACATATAAAAAATGGTGGTTATTTTGCCAGCGTAATAAGGTAGACATTTACCAGGCAAATGTTGGAAATATTATTGCTTTTCTTAATGACCTTTTTTTAAACAAAGCATCATATACGACTTTAAATACTCATCGGTCAGCATTATCATTAATTCTAAATTACAGTAATGGGGATGAAATTTTGATTAAGAGATTCCTTAAGGGTGTGTACAGGGCTAAGCAATGCTTTCCAAAATACAAGACAACATGGGACCCCCAGCCAGTCTTGGAATATCTAAAGAAATTATACCCGTTAAATACACTTTCTTTGGAAATGCTTACAAAAAAACTCGCATCGTTATTATTATTGGCAACGGGACAGAGACTCCAAACTATTTCTAAGATTAAAATTCAAAATATTCATGGTATAGAATCCTCAAAAATTAAAATTTTTATCACAGAAATACTTAAAACATCAAGTTATAATCGTCAGCAGCCAGTTTTAGAGTTCAATTATTTTACAGAATGTCCGGAGTTATGTGTAGCGAATACATTAAAGGCATATTTGTTAAGAACAAGTTCATTAAGAAAAGATACTGACGAGTATCTTATGCTTACATTTAAAAAGCCCCATCATATAGCTAGTTCCCAAACTATTGGCCGTTGGATAAAAAATATATTAAAAATTAGTGGAATTGATACAAACAAGTATCATTCTCACAATACGAGACATGCTACAACCTCAGCGGCTTTTAGGAAGGGAATTGGTATAGATCAAATCAAAGATACTATAGGATGGTCTCAAAGCTCGCAAGTGTTCCAGAAATTTTACAATCGGCCTTTAGAAGGCAATAAATTAAATTTTGTAGAATTAATTCAGGGAAATAATTAATAATTTTTAAGATATATGTATCTCAGATCTTTCATAATTATAGAAAATAAATGTTTATGTAATATTTTGTTTACCTGCTAAGGTATTATACTTAGGTTTAAGTGTTGATGATATTTTTTTTTGATTGTGTTTTTTGTTATAAACAGAAGGTAAATAAATTTAAGGTTTTGCTTACTGGGAAATATTAGAATTATGTTTAAATATATTATATTTTTAGAAATTTCTATACATAACTTGTTTAATTTAACTGCCAACAAAAAATAGAATTTTAGGGCCTTTAAACATCTACATGTATAATATCTATTTGGACGAGTATACGAAATATAATTTTAAGAACAAACGACTTACCTGTAGGAAGTTCGTTCTGAATTATATGAGTATGCTCGTCCAAATAGATATGTCCCATACCCGGTTAATTGTTAAATCCCACCCGAAATTCTATTTTTCCACAAAATGTAATGATTCAACCAGGTCGGGCGTGCAGCGGCAAGGATGATAAGAGAAAAAAAATTATGATTCACTCTTTGTAAAAATGTGCTCGATAAAGTAAGAATAGTGTAACTACATGTATAATATCTATTTGGACGAGCATACTCATATAATTCAGAACGAACTTCCTACAGGTAAGTCGTTTGTTCTTAAAATTATACAACTTACTAATTATTAAAAACACATAAATCGTTTATTTATGTATATTAATTTTAATAGTGTAGTTTAACGAAATAGGACCTAATGACTTTTAAAACAAGTGTTGTTTAGTACTATTGTCTTTTTGGTGTAGACCTGACAGAAAACTTTTTTATTTGACTCAAATTTATTTTATACCCTTTGTGTTTCAACACAATGTTTTATTAAAGTAAAACATTATTTTGTTTAAAACAACCAAAAATCTTGTAGACGAGCGTTTGTGAAATTATTTAACTTAAATAAGTTTTAAAGTAAACTAGCAATCTAAAAAACATAACTTATGTGTCCGAAAAAATAATTTGTTATATTAACAAATTAACGTTTGAATTAGACAAGGTTCTTAGCTACCCCAGATAGTGATACGGAATAATGGAGACTATTTATTTTTACGCTTAACAAAAAATGTAATTAAAACAGATCGTAACTTCTTTCAGCCCTTTCGTCAAGATTTTAGGCATTGCGTCATTTATTTCCATCTAACCATCGCAGCGTTCACATAGTCTTAAACGTTTAATTAATATTGAGAAGAAATTCTCGATTGTTTTACCAAAGTCTATATATTACAATATATAGAAACAACCAGTCTATATTAAAAAGTATATATACTTTGATTTTACTGTGTCAAATGTGTAATTAGGTAATAATGGAAGAAAAGCAAGATTATTCATTGAGTGAGACCTCGAAGAAATGGTGAAAAATTTTGTGGGTAAGTAATTTCCAATTTTTTTCAGATAATTATTATAATTTTAAGACTAATGCAACATAAAACGATAAATGCAAAATTCATGAATTCTATCTTTTGGTAAATTTAAAGGCAAGTTATACAACATATCAATAGTTCTAATTATAAGAACATTTATAAACATAAGAGTTAAATCAATCGTTTATTTATTTATACACCAATCATAATATTATCAATAGCCGCCCATACAGAAATTTTCATGTTTTCTATAGATAAAATCATCCCTGAAATTACTGGAATAAAATTTTCAGATAACTCTATATATACTAATATACATATATATTTTTTTTTTCCTTTCTTGGGTATGAGGTTTTTTTTTATTAATTGAAGATGGAAACTTTTTATTTTTATTATGCGACGTTTCGCCTCATCATGGTGGGCTTTCTCAGGCACTTTATTCTTGAAGCCGCAGCCGCCTTGCTACCACCAGTCTATATAGAAGAACTTTCACTTACATTCTTCTATATAGACTGGTGGTAGCAAGGTGGCTGCGGCTTCAAGAATAAAGTGCCTGAGAAAGCCCACCATGATGAGGCGGAACGTCGCATAATAAAAATAAAAAGTTTCCATCTTCAATTAATAAAAAAAACCTCATACCCAAGAAAGGAAAAAAAATATATATGGATATAATTCTAAAGGTTTAAGAAAAAGAAAAAAAATATACTAATATATTTATAATAGTAAATTATTTCCAGGTGGAAAATTATTTCCTTCCATGATCAAGCAATGGATTTATTCAAATAGAATATTCAAGCCGTGGCAACTTTTCAAAAGACAACGCTTTACAGTTGAGGGTTGGAACCTTTGGTGTTACACAGCAAAATAAAACACTAAATCACCACAATACACCAAAACACTTTTACTTTTACACTGGACGCGCGTTTCGCTAACCATGTTAGCATCATCAGCAGATGATTATAAACTAAGTTTATAGCGAAACGCACGTCCAGTGTAAAAGTAAAAGTGTTTTGGTGTATTGTGGTGATTTAAAGGCAACACAATAAAGAAACTACTAAACGAGTTGACAATTACTGGCCTATAGTTTGCCAACAATAAGTATCCGAAAGGAAAAACCAGCAGGACGGTGGAAGCTCCCTCGCTTAGAAGTTGCCGAAGGATAACCATAAAACTGAATCTATATAAGAACATTCTCTAAGTACGCATGTGTGCTTATCTACCTTAGCAAATTCCCTTTTGGTTTTAAGGGAATTTATTTCTTTTGGTTTAGTTAAAAACTATTCTAATGTAGGTGGTAAATTAGTTCCCTCACACCAAGATATTATATACACCAGCACGTTTATTTTGTATTTGATAAAATAAAAGTATTTACTCCAACATGCGATTTTTCTAAATTAGTACTTCTTCTTATGTACCTTAGTGAATTACCTCTTCATTTTTTGATAAAACGTTTGTTTATCACACACAACTATATTTTTCATCTGTTTTCAACTACTAAATTTTCTTTTCTATAGTACATAATATTTTATTTGAAAAAACTAACAACTTCATTCACAAAAATGTTTATAATTTCTTAATAATTAATATTTTATAAATTACATAATAGGGTTATTTATATTAGGGAGAGAAATTCCAGTCAAAATATTTAGATAAGGTAAATTAGGTTTTGTCTGTCCATATAGTGTTTAAGTATTTTATCTAATCTATACAAGTTTCTTTTTTTGTGTATCACACTTGTGACAATTGTACTTAGAGTTTGGATAACTTTGAGAGATACCTCAAAGTAGTATGGAGCAATAAAAAGAATTGGAAGAGAGAAACGTTTACTCAGCACTTAAAAGACCATACCATAATGTAACGTGGTATACTAATAAACTAAAGGAAGAACAGGGATAGAAGTATTTGGGTCGAAAATTAAATATTCCGAAGCAATTGGCACCTACCCCAACATCCTACAGGTAGAAATCTACGCTATCGAAAGATGCATACGACTTATTTTGGAAACAAAAAAATAATCATTTTGTCCGATAGTCAAACAGCCTTAAATACATACATACATACTGCCATTATTCGCTGACGAGTATTTGAGACGCATCAGAAGATGGTTACGTAACGTGTTTTGTTTTCATGAGCTTTTCTGTGACTGAACAACCCCCCCCCCCATACGTGATGATATGTCTTTTCCGCGTTGCGAACATTCAAAAATCTCATTGCTTTGTTGCCTCTTTACTGTTTGGTTGTCGTTAACTGAGTTTACAATTTTTCTCCATTGCGTTCCATTTTGTGCGTTTCTTATTCCCACCCATTCTGCATGTTTATCCCTTTTAAGTATTCGTAAAATATTCTTGTATCTCTTGAGTTGTCCACTCGGTTTTCTCTTACCGTCTACAAGTTCAGCATGAAGCAAATATTTTATTAGGCGATATTTTTGCATTCTGCATACGTGACCAGCCCATCTTAAGCGGGATTTTGTAATCATGACTTCAACGCTTTAGTAGCTAGCTTTTTCTAGAACCGATACGTTTGAGATATGGTGGAATCATGTGTAAGAGTTGTCGAAGGTGTCTCTGTTGCAACTTGTTTAGCAGTACGGCACCCAGATTTCGCTTCCATATAACATGGTGGAGATTAACCAACATAACATACCGAGATTTGGTATGTTATGTTGGATTAACTTTATTTTAATGCGCACTATGATACGAAAATACTTTATGTGTAAGGTCGAAAATAGAAACTTTATAAGCAGATTTTAAATTAACGAATTTTATGAGCAATAGTCATATAAATCAACTTAAGTTTCATTTGCTATATTATTGCTATTACGCATACATATATTCATAGACCTTTGTGCTACTATACTGATTCAAATTATATATGGTTTCAAGGTCCAGGTTCCAGATCCACATATTACCAGTCAATTATTAAATTAAAAATTCAATTTTATTACTTTATTTACACTTTATACATATGTGCAGCTTTAGGGATACTTATATTGTAATTCTATTTTATGTAGTAAATGTTAAGATATTATGATAACTTTTTTGATTTTTTATATACTTAAACTCATAAAAAGTTACTTCTCAAAGTTATTTAGTTTTCTGGCATTTGGTAGACATTAAACTTAATGGGGCTCTCTGGAATAGGGGGCCGAAGGACCAGATACGTGCTAAGTCACAGAGGGAGTACAGAGTTTCTCCAGTTAGTTTTGCGGGCAATGTTGCCAGAATTATAATACTAGACCCACGTTTACTTTTGTCTATAGTTTGTCTCAAAGTGTAATTCTAGATTCGACAGTTTATATTAGTTGTTATAGCAAGATCTTGTTAGCAATGGAATTAGTAGTGGGAACTATCGAATGAATACTATCGAAACATTCGATAGTTGCAATTCATTCGAATAATTCGATAGCTAGTAAGAAAACATTCGTTGAAAACTATTCGAATAAAAATTATCGAATAGATGCGTCATCTGCCTTGAAATATTGTATTCTAGTAATTCGGCAGCAAAAACCATTCATTTATAAAATTCATTCATTTATGAAATTCATTTATTCGTCAGGATCGAATATAATAAAATATTAACTGAATTTTAGTTGTCGCCAGGCGACGTAGGTTTCTTTCCGAGAAGCCGGACAGCGGTCGGTGGCAATGCTATGAAAGAAGCCGGCATCTTTGATTTTTTGCGGAGTCCGATAAAGATAAGGACACATTATTTTTTTTTATTGAGGTGCTAGTATTTACACAGAAAATACATTATGAAGGGCGCTGTTGCCATATATTGGTATTAGTTGATATTAGCAAGGAATATTATTGTTTGGCTTTAGTTAGTTAGAGATAGTATGTCTATATATTTTGCATTTTTTTATTAATATTCTGTTATTACACTGCAATAATACTTGTTATTTTGGATGTAGGAAAATTATTTTTAATATTTTTAAGCAAAGACTGGTTTAATAAATAATAATATCAGTAATA